TTCCAAGGCTATAAGTCTTTACAGAAGCAGACTGCCACATCTTTCTTGGGTAGAGTTGCTGGTGGGTTCAAACCTCCAACCTTTTGGTTTGCAGCCGAGTACTTTAACCATCGTGTCACCAGGGCTGCCGGGGCTGATAATAATAGTACTTATTTAGTAAGGTTGTGAGGACTAAATGCATGAATACACACAAAGTTCTTAGAATGGTACCTGTTGTATAGGAAGCACTATATGTGTTAGCCGTTATTTTCATCATGTATTTTCATGATATTCTGCCTACCTTAAGCTTTCCACATCCCCCTTTTTGGTCTTCAGCACAATTTTTGGTAATTAGCTTCAGTATATGTGATTGGTTTTTAAAAATCTCTCCAAGAGTGATGGTTTCATGCAGTTATTACCCATGATTTTCTTGCTCAAGAGATACCAAAGCTTAGGATCTCTTTCCACCATGCGTCTGTCAGTTTGTCATACTGTGGTGGCTTGCATATGAATCTAAGAAAATCGGAAATCATCAGAAATGAAATGGAACATGTAAAGATCAATATCCTAGGCATTAGTGAGCTGAAATGGACTGGTACTTGCCATTTTGAATCAGACAGTCATATGGTCTACTATGCCAGGAATGACAAATTGAAGAGGAATGGTATCACATTCATTGTCAAAAAGAGCATTTCAAGATCTATCCTGAAAAGCTGTCGGTGATAGGATAATATCCATATGCCTACAAAGAAGACCAGTTAATATGACTATCATTCAAATATACGCACCAACCACTAAGGCCAAAGATGAGAGAAATAGAAGATTTTTACCAACTTCTGCAGGCTGAAATTGGTCAAACATGCAGTCAAGATGCATTGATAGTTACTGGTGATTGGAATGTGAAAGTTGGAAACCAAGAAGAAGGAGCGGTAGTTGGAAAATATGGCCTTGGTGATAGAAATGATGCTGGAGATCGCATGATAAAATCTTGCAAGACCAATGACTTCTTCGTCGCAAATACCTTTTTTCAACAACATAAATGGCAATTGTACATGTGGATCTCACTGAATGGAAAACATAGGAATCAAATAGACTACGTCTGTGGAAAGAGATGATGGAAAAGCTCAGTATCACCAGTCAGAACAAGGCCAGGGGCTGACTTCAGAACAGACCATCAGTTGCTTGTATGCAAGTTTAAGTTGAAGCTGAAGAAAATTAAAACAAGTCCATGAGAACAAAAATATGACCTTGAGTATATCCCACCTGAATTTAGAGACTATCTCAAGAATAGATTTGATGCATTGAACACTTACGACCAAAGACCAGACGAGTTGTGGGATGACATCAAGGACATTATACATGAGGAAAGCAAGAGGTCATTAAAAAGACAAGAAAGAAAGAAAAGACCAAAATGGATGTCAGAAACTCTGAAACTTGCTTTTGAACATAGTGTAGTTAAAGTGAATGGAAGAAATGATGAAATAAAAGGGCTGAATAGAAGATTTCAAAAGTTGGCTCAAGAAGACACAGTAAAGTATTATAATGAAATATGCAAAGACCTGGAGTTAGAAAACCAAAAGGGAAGAACACACTTGGCCTTTCTCAATTTGAAAGAACTGAAGAAGAAAATTCAAGCCTCCAGTTGCAATATTGAAGAATCCTACAGGGAAAATATTGACTGACCCAGGAAGCATCAGAAGAAGATGGAAGGAATACACAGAGTCACTGTACCAAAAAGAATTGGTCAACGTTCAGCCATTTCAGGAGTTAGTATATGATCAAGAACCAATGGTATTGAAGGAAGAAGTCCAGGCTGCACTGAAGGCACTGATGAAAACAAGGCACCAGGAGTTGATGGAATACCAGTTGAGATGTTTCACTAAACAGATGCAACACTGGAGGTGCTCCCTCGTTTCTGCCAACAAATTTGGAAGACAGCTACCTGGCCAAATGACTGAAAGAGATCCATATTTGTGCCCATTCCAAAGAAAGGTGATCTAACCGAACACGGAAATTATCAAACAATATCATTAATATCACATACAAGTAAAATTATGCAGAGGATAATTCAAAAATGGTTGCAGCAGTACATGGACAGGGAACTGCCTGAAATTCAAGCTGGATTCAGAAGAGGTTGTGAAACGAGGGATATCATGCTGATGTTAGATGGATCTTGGCTGAAAGCATAGAATACCAGAGAGATGTTTACCTGTGTTTTATTGACTCTGAAAAAGCATTCGACTCTGTGGATCATAACAAATTATGGATAACATTGCGAAGAATAGGAATTCCAGAACACTTAATTGTGCTCATGAGGAACCTGTACATAGACCAAGAGGCAGTCGTCGGAACAGAACAAGGGGATGCTGAGAGAGGTTTAAAATTGGGAAAGGTGTGGGTCAAGGTTGTATCCTTTAACCATACGTATTCAGCCTGTATGTTGAGCAAATAATGTGAGAAGCTGGACTATATGAAGAAGAACGTGGCATCAGGACTGATTGAATACTTATTAACTACCTGCGATATGCAGATGACACAACTTTGCTTACTGAAGGTGAAGAGGACTAGAAGCACTTACTAATGAAGATCAAAGACCACAGCCTTCAGTATGGATTACACCTCAACAAAAAGAAAACAAAAATCCTCACAACTGGCCCAGTAAGCAACATCATGATAAACAGGGAAAAGATTGTGAAGTTGTCAAGGATTTCATTTTACTTGGATCCGCAATCAACACCCATGGAAGCAGCAGTCAAGAAATGAAAAGACGCATTGCATTGGGCAAATCTGCTGCAAAAGACCTCTTTAAAGTGTTGAGAAGCAAAGATGTCACCTTGAAGACTAAGGTGTGCCTGAGCCAAGCCATGGTGTTTTCAATTGGCTCCTATGCATGTGAAAGTTGGACGGTGAATAAGGAAGACCGAAGAAGAATCGATGCTTTTGAATTGTGGTGTTGGTGAAGAATATTGAATGTACCATGGACTGCCAGAAGAACGAACAAATCTGTCTTGGAAGAAGTACAACCAGAATGCTCCTTAGAAGCAAGGTTGGCGAGACTACGTCTCACATACTTTGGACATGTTGTCAGGAAGGATCAGTCCCTGGAAAAGGACATCATGCTTGGTAAAGCAGAGAGGGTCAGTGAAAAAGAGGAAGACCCTCAACGAGATGGATTGACACAGTGACTGCAACAATGGGCTTAAGCATAATGATTGTGAGGATGGCACAGGACCTGGCAGTGTTTTGTTCTGTAAGTCAGAACCAACTAGGTGGCACCTAACAGCAACAGCAACAGAATCTGTTTGCAGATTTACACTGATGAAATCTGTGTTATAAATAAGCATGTAGTATACAGTATTCTCACTAGATTGGCTGTAGCTTTCCACAGACTTGCTAGTTATCATTGGGATGATTCTTTCAGTCAGTGTCATGGTGGTGAGCCTCAAGTTCTGAATTTCCTTCATGATCTTGCATTTTTCACTGACTTCAGACTTCCACATAACATACCTATTTGCAAGATCCATGATCTTTCTAATTGAAAATACGTTGTTGTTATTAGCTGCTGTCAAATCATATACTAAGTTGAAAATACTAAGATCACAAAATTATTTCCACTTAGCCACTATTAAAGTATTTTCTAAAATATATTCCTCAGCCGTTAATGTATTTTGCAGTAAAATAAGACTGGTCAAAATAAATTTTGGAAATTGTGGGGCAAGCAACATTCAACAGATGTATTTTATGTTTTACTGTTTAGTGTTCTTCATGTGCCAGTATGAATCTTCATGAAGAGTATATAATATTTAAAAGTTCTCAAATGTGTTTATGCTTGGGATCCTTTTGTGCATAGCACCTAACACTTAGGGTTATCTGGGAAATGGTGGACTATGCTATAGTTCAGTCTTCCCACTCCATGCCTCCATCACAGTCATTTCCAGTCCAGCCTGCATACTATTATCAGCGTGATTTTTTGGAATGTGGGATGGGGATGAGGTGCATGGGTTATAAGTTTCCCCCCCTTTTTAAATATTTATTTTAGGTGGCAATATACATGGCCAAACTTATATCCATTCACAATTTCTACATCAACAGTGCAGTAACATTGGTTGCATACTTCTCCTTATGTCCCCATTCTCACTGTCTCTACCCATATTGTTTCATCACCATTAATTTAGGCTCTCTGCTCCTTAAAGTTCTCATCTGTGCTTTAGATTAAGTATTGTCAGATTAAGCTCATATTGATAATTCTGTGTAAGAGTGCTATGCTGGAGGCAAACATTCTTTATTAATTGGACTAAATTGTTGTTTAGTTTAACAGTGGCTTCATTGGATAGTTTCAGTTCAAGTTTAAAGATTGTTTCTCGGCATTTGTTTTGAGAGTTCTCCCAGTCTAAATGGATCCAGTAAGTCTGTTTCCATGTGAGTTTGAGGTTCTTTTCCATGCTTTTCCTCCTTTTGATCAGGATCCATCTGTTGGTCAAAACGTTCAGTAATGGTAGTCTGGCACCATCTATTTGTTCTGGTGTCATGGAAATGGAGGTAGTAGTTTATGGAGGAAATTAAACCTGAAGTCCATTTCCTTCTCCAGTTCCTGGGTCTCCTTCCTCTGCTGTTCTAGTTGAATACAGACCAGTTGGTGTATCTTGAGTGGCAAGACGTCCCCCCCCCCCTTTTTTTTAACCAATCTGACTTTCATTACTGTATTCCAGATACAGTCAGAACTCTTGGTAGTCTTCTCACACTCTGAGACCTCTCTGCCCTTGAACACCTTCCCTTGGCCTGGAATGCCCCACCCCCATTACCTGTTCTCTGAAAAGCTTTCTCTGATTCCCCCAGGGATTTACCATGACTTTCTCCCTTCTCTACTGTGAGATCATAGTTCTATTTAATTCAATATGTGTTAAGCATACCTTTTGTGAAGATTTCAGTGGAGGTTGTGAATATTAAATTGACCGAAGAAGCTTGGAAAATATTTGAATTAAGTTTTTATATGTCTCTGTCTTTTTGTTCTCTTTCTCTAGTGCTCTTTTGAAGATGACAGTGTTCGTTCCTTATTAAAACCTTTAGAACTGGAGCTACAAAATACAGTGCATACATACTGTGGAAAAATCTACAAAATATTTATCAAACAACTAATGAAAAGCGTAAGAGACCGTTATGAGAGACCACCAAAGGAAAGGTGACTTTTGGTGACTGCCAAATCAACTGAATTAAAAGACAAAATGTCAGAGTGTGAAGGGATAGTCTTGAACAGAGTGTTCAGGAAGGAGTTAGTTATCCACCTTGAGAATAATTTTTTTCCTGATGGGGTTAAATGAGCAATATGTTCATGTACTGAAGAATAAGTTAAAATCTTGGACCCCAATAAGAAGACATTTTTGATCTCTGGTGTTTTGTAGCATTATTTATCATTCCAGTATTGATGAAAATGTGTTATTATATGGTTATAGTCTAAAGACTTCCATTGACTGCCCTGGAGTAAGAACAGTAGGGGTGTATGGATGGAAAAAATGTACCTCATACCCAATGAAAACACTCAAACTGTGAGTATAGCAATAATTTTATGTCAGCACTAACCTCACTTTAAATGTGTGAGAACAAACTTGTTTACAGGAGCAGGAAAGGTTCTGTTTCTAAAGAAATGTGACATAACTGATGTAACCATTGACAATCTGTATGTGCCTTTATACATTTCATCTCTGTTTTAAAATATTTCTGTGACAATCGTGTTTAAAACTATTTTTAGATTATAAGTAAGCTGCATGTTTAAAACAGCTGTATAAGAAGGTGGTGAGAGAGTGAAATGTTTAGGTTTTAGTTATTGGGGTTTTGTGTGTATGTGTGTTTGTGAAATGTAGTCTCTTATTTCATTTTGTATATGCTAAACTGTCTTGCCAAAACTCAGATCTAAGATTGTTAAACATATTTTGGGAGATTTTTATCATTTTAAATGAAAAATTTCAGCTTTACTGGGCATTCTGGAAACAAAAAATATTGAGTTGATAATAAATTGGGAACCTTGATAGTATATACTAATATGATGGTGGAAAATGTGATGAACCAAAATGCATAAGCTAAACACTTCCATGAACAGTAGTTTTAGTTGTAATGGAACAGAAACAAGTGGCCCATTTAAACTTTTTTCTTCTACCTCAAAATGGCATTGCAAGATATTTTAGAAGAAACAAATAAATAGAGCCTTACTGTAAGTTAGACAACTTTGGTGAATGATTTGGATTAAAAAGATGATTGTAACATCTGACTTACAGAAAACTAGTTTTGATTAAGTTAAAGTGCATATCTTCCATTTTTTGAATATCACTTAAGACAGTTAATTATTTTTAAATCCTGAAGACCAGAAAAATACTACATCTCTTGGCATTCTTGACCTGCTAACTAATATAACTGTAGATCCTGGGTACTTCGCATGTACTGTGCTGGGGGCACAGATCTCATTTTCCCAAGTGCCATAAGGTCATCTTCTTTTTCTGTCTTCAGTATTTTAATGCTTAAATAGAGAAGGGAATATCATGAAGGAAAAGTATCACTCCTGTGAAAATAGTGGGGATTGGCTTTATGAAGACACGGTGCCCTCCATAGAAACATCGAATATGCAGAAAGAAAGGATCAGTTGTCCCATGTCTTCTGCAGATCAATCAGGGACAAATTGAGAGAGGGTGGGAGTAAGAAGTTGATAATTAATCCAGCATTCTTAGAACAGATAGATTTAGAGAGCACGATCTGTACTTCCTTGGCAGAATGCCACAGTGAGTGCAAGAACCTGTGAACTGTGTTGAAATTGAGCCTTCTGAGTAGAAAATCAGAATCCTAGAATTTTGAAGTTTGGAGGGTATATATGAGATCATTTAGTGGTTCCCAAATGACACCACTGCCTGCATGGCTATACGACTCTCATAGGGAGCTTGTGAAGAATAGATTCCTAGGCTTTATCCTTTGGAGACTCTGGTATATTGTATCTAGGATAGGGTCTGCAAATCTTTTTCTTATTGAAAAGATTTAAACATCGCACAAAAGTAGAATAGTATGATGTTACTTATCACCCAGATCAAACATGTATCAGTGTTTTCCCATGTTTGCTTCATCTATCCCTTTTCTTCTTTTCTGAATTATCTTAAAAAGCTATAGACATCATGTTCTTTCACTGCTATGAACACTGCATATTAACAGTTTGCTGATCCCAATGACATACATCATACCTAACAAAAGTAACAAGAGCCCTTTGGTTTCTTCTAATATCCAGTCCTCAAGCAAATTTCCCTGATTTTTCAAATATGCTATTTTATAGTTGGTTTGTTAGAATTAGGGTGCATAAAAAAGCCACATACTGGTTTATGAGTTTTTAACAAGCACCTCAGATGATTTTGATGTTAGCTAGTTTGGGAACCACCAGAAATTATTTTGACCGTTTGAAGCTTGAAAGTAGGATACCACAACTCTTGGCATAGATGATGGATTATAAAGTATGATTCTGAAATATTGTTATAGAGGAAGCACTCTGGGTTATTAACAAGATACGAATTTATTAAGTTCCTTAAGATTTGCCATGTTTTATGCAAATAATGCTCACCTTTTACGTTTGTTTGCCAACCGAGCCCTCTCACCCCCAGGTATTTTTGTAAGCATGCTATGCTAATTAGTTTTTTACAGCAACATATTTAAAAATATTGGCACAGCATCGCTTATGAAAATACCTCGCACCTTCCCCTTGCAATTGACAAACAAACATAGAAGGTGTGTGTTATTTGCATAAAAAATGGTAATTTCCTCAGTGAATGGAGAACTTCAGCCCCGTGGGCCCTAATACAATTGGTTGGAACTATGTAGAGTGTCGTCATAGTGTATGGCACTGGACTGTATACTGCGATCTAACACATCTATTGTGGCTTATTTACACTGTCACACGCTCTACCTTGTGGAGCATTTGGAAGGTTCTTCATCCGGTTTATTCAGACCTAACCTAATTGGACGTTTTACTACAAATTGGATTATGGTGAAAACTCTCTATTGAAGGACTATTTTTATCTAAAATTAAGGGTATCATAGAAATTGCGTAACAATATTAAAATGAATTTTCTGTATTTACCTTTAGAAGGTAATTTTTCCTTGAGCATTCTCAAAAAATACAGTTCTCAGAGTTAATGATGTTAAATTATAGGTGGCCAGCTTACAGTATGTATCACATTGTTTTTCAGTGTAAATGTTCTTTTCATAGAACATAGTAAATCTATGCAGTTTATGTAAATTACATATCCTTTGAGTCTGTATGTTAGAACAGTTCTGATCTCAGAACTATCTCTGGGCTACACTATTACCAAAGTGGAATGATTTGAAAAAGTAGTCAAACTTGTATGAAGTAGCCGATTTAAAAGAACTTGGAAAATCTTGAGAAAATATATATTGTGATTTACATTTTAAGGAAATACATACTCCCCCCGCCCCCCATAAAGAGTCGTTCATTATGTATAAGATAACCAGGTTACCTTGAACACTTTAGAGCCTGAGACAAGATAGCTGCTTTACCCATTGCTCTGTGTTGCCTCCAGTCAGATGTTACTGGTGTAGCGAAAAGAACAGGCTGTGAACTAAAACTGTGTTTTCTTCTTGGTTGTGGACCTCAGGCTTATCACTTAACTCCCTCTGTGCCTTATTAGGTTTTTAAGTACAATCAATATGCCCTACAAACCTCACAAGAAGATGAGCCTCTGAAGAGGCAGTGGATTTGAAGGCATTCTGCGTGGCTTATCTAATGCCACACCAGTGTTACTGTTGAAGTTCTGTTTTACACTGTTGTCTCCTATACTGATCATTCTGTTTACTTAGGGTAAATGTTTTCTGACATATATTATGTATCCAGTATGAATTTGCTTATATTATGTAAGGAGGAATTTTTAGGAAAAGAAAGTAGAGAAGCAAAGAATAATGTAAAAGAATGATCAGAAAAGAAGGAAGAGAGGAAGTGAGAAAATGTGAGAGGAAAGAGAAGGGAATCAGAGTGAGAACGGCAAACGACAGAGTAAGAAAAAAGATGGAACAAGTGTAGGAAATTTGAGAAATAGAGATGGAGAAGAATCTATTTTAGCAATTTTCCCATAGGATTCTGATAGGAAGCCAGGTTTGGGAATTAGTGCCCTGCCTTAAATAGCAGCTGAAACAATATATCACATCTGCTTATTCCTCAATAGGGATCCTCTCAGTTGAACTGTTATGAATGGATTAAAGAGAGCAGGGGATAGCAGAAATACATTAAAGGGAAACAGCATAAAATATATTATTCAGCGTCTTTTCAGAAGTTTGTATTGTAAGTAGTTAATATCTTAGTAGTCATCAGAACCTCTTTGACCACTGATCAGTTTTTTAAAATAACTTTTTGGGTTCTTTAGAGTAAATAGAGAAGAAAAGTAGGTGCAGTATACCAGGTGTGGGGCCAGTTATCCATTTATTAAATGTAATTTCAAGTGTCTTAAAACAGTAACTGCCTTATCGCATTTTAATATTGAATAAAAGTAGATTAAATCATGGTTTGTACTATAGCAGTTACCCTTTTCTACATTGCCAAAGCAGCCTTTTTTGCCTGTTAAAGTCTAGCTAAACTGTGTTCTGATGTTTGTTGTTTCTTAATTCATTGAACATGAAACTAGATCTTTAAAACTAAGTTGTATAAACTTAAGACAGAAGTCTAAACGCTGGTACAAGAATTTTCTTTTTTCAAAACTAAAAATGAATATTGATGTTATGCAAATATCTAGCAATTACAAAATCAAGAGAAAAATATAGATTAGCATATTCGGCTAGTCAATTTAAAATTGATTGCAAACCAATGTCAAACTTACTTCTAAATGGAAATATATGTATTGTCAACTCTACCAGTAATTTCAAATGATTACTTCTTTAGAGTATTTAATAAACTCAGTTTTCAAACAGAGGAGAGCCTTTGAAGATACAGGGGAAAAAAAGATAGGAATGAAAAATTACACTGCTAAATACTATGAATACTGTTTGGAGGATCTGTGATCAGACATTTTAGCAACAAACTTAACTGATATGGAATCTGAATATGTTTGGTTTATATATACAGTCTAAATATTTGAGCATATTCACACACATACCACACACATAGCAATGCCTTGTAATAATTGGTGGAGAGAATGCAACGGTATGTATTCCATTTTAAAAATAAGTTGACTTTGTGATCGAAAAATAGCTGTTTCCAACCTTTGTATATAATTTCTTCAGAGAATATTAGAATGTGGTGCAAAATTAATTCAGGTTTTTAGTATTGCTGTAGAGTATGACACCCTTTCAGAACTTAGCAGAACACACACGCGTTGTCATCAGTATTTGAGAACTGGACCACTGGTTTCGGATGGATGCTGTAACAGAAGATCCACGAAGGAGATTGGACATATTGCTCTGATACATGCACAGATGGTGATTTGCACCTGTTCCCAAAATCAGAAACTGGAAAAGGTTTCAGATGTTTGTATTGTTCAAAGACATTTTGCATAAATATACTGATGTTTTAAGTAGTAATAATTCTAAAGCTGCAAGAAGGCATTTTGGTGTACTGTGATGGGTAAAGATTACTACCCTTAAATTGCTTTTTATCTTAAAATACTATAGTTTTAGAATAATATGGATATCTTCCTTCGAGTATTTTGTATACCTTGACACTTACTAAAGGGAGGGAGTATAAGATAAATTCAAGTCTAACCTGAGAATAATGGAAAATTGCTTTGTTCTGTTTTGGGAAAGTTCAACTCATCTTTTCCTTGACAAACTAAGTGTTGCTGTTACTAAATAAACATTTATCCAATAAATATTTAATTTCCCGAAATCATTTGTCTTAATTATTCTAGAAGTCTACAACAATTTTAGAATCTTGAGGGTTTTATTAGGAGGATGCTTAATAACAAAGAGTCTAGAGGGAGGGCAGTTCCTGGATTGGCTAATTGAGTAGCTGAATACTGCCGTCAAGAACCTAGGTGCCTTTGGTTTTTCCACTACCCCTCTAACCATGTGAATTTGGTCTTCCAAAGTGACTGCCAAAGCTCCAGGTGGAAGGTGACAGCCATAGGTGGACAACCAGGTAGGTCCTTTTGATAAGAGGAAGCTTCCTCCTGCTCCCACCCACTTCCCCTCATAGCCAAAACAATGCCTATGTTTAAGACAGTCATCTTGCAGAGGGAATAAGCTATCATGATTGGCTCAGGCCATGAGGATTTGCCCCTTGGGCTTGGAAATGACCTCCCCTTGAAGAAGGAGGCCCTTCAGAGGAAGGGGAGTGACATCAGGGTTCTGGTAGCATGGAAGAAGATAGGAGGGTGAGGGGCAGAGGATTTGGGAGATAGCTACTGGGCAGGCAGCAGGCCATACATTATTTTATTGACCCACGTATTTCCTATAATTTCAAAGGGGATCAAATTTCAGATATAAAGAACAGCATCCTTTCTGAGCCATAAACTTTGTGGAGTGGTTATATGTGAGCTACTAATAATTTTGCTTTAAAAAGTCTCTGTGATTTTATGATCTTAACAGTTCTTATTTTTCCATATTTTGTTTTACACAGTGTGGTCACAATCATAGTATAAATGGGTTTTAAAAGATTGTTGAGGTGATGACTGGCTTTCCAAGAAGAGTTTAAAAGTTTCTTTAAATTTGTGATGAAAAAGTATTAATATTTATTAGCAATCTTTATATTTTTAAATTAAATCTTTTTTATAAATTATAAAATATCCTCATTGAAACAAAAATTCAAAAAAACAAGAATTAAAAGTATATGAAGTAAACAGTAAAAGACCCTCCTATCTACCCACCGTTAATAACATTTGGTGTATACCCTCCCAGTCTTTTGCTATGCACATGAATACAAGACATGTATATGCAAATCTGATTCTAAAAATGGCTGCTATTTTCTACACTCTTCTACAACTTGTCTTTTTTCACATATCATGACATCTTTCCTTGTCAATACATTAGCCACCTTGTTCTTCCTAATAGCTGCATATTATTTCATAGTTATGTCCTTAAGTAGAGATTAGTACACAGACTTCTGAAGTACACAAGTGCCAAGTAATGAGTTTTAACTTGATAAGGGAAGTAGTAATTAACTACTTTTCCCATTTTTCTAGTTGTGTGTTTTAATTTAAGGAACATCAATATGTGAATAAACAAACCAGTATACTTCAAACATCAAAGTTAATGTCAGATTGTTATTTTTTAATTAAAAGTAAAATTGGTACTTTAAATTCAATACAGTTCTAATAAAATAAATAGCAATAGCTGTATTTTGTGAGACTGGCATGTCTAAGAATTATTTCCAGGTTGTTCTTTTAACTTTCCTAGTCTTTATTTCTTTTAAAAAATATTTCGAATAGTGTAAGTTAAAAAAATTTTTTATTGGTGAAAATTAACAAAAGTTGACTTCAAAATTTGCCTATTCTTTGGCTATGTTCTTTAGCGTTTAAAATATGTTAATAGGGCCACTTATATTTTTAAAGAGATTTTTAATAACCTAGAACAGTGTTGTCCAATAGGTACATAATGCAAGCCATGTGTGTAATTTTAAATTTTCTAGTACCCGCAATAAAAAAGCACTTGAAATTAGTTTTAATAATATTTAACCTATTATATCCAAAATACTATCATTTGAACGTTATCAAAATTAGTTTTAATATTTAACCTGTTATATCCAAAATATTATCGTTCGAACATGTAATCAATATGAAAATATTTAGATATTTTACCTTTTTTTTTTCATTCTAAGCTTGTATTTTACACATACAGCCCATCTCAATTTGAACTTGCGACATGTAGCTAGTGGCTCTGATGTTGAACAGTGCAGCTCTGGAACGTAAACTTTGTGAAGGCAGAACCCATTTCTGTTATTACTGCACTATTGCTAGTACTACACGGTAGACACTCATATGTTGAATGAATGAATTTTAATGGAAGGTGTATTATAGTGTTTTTTTTAATTTGGAAAAGGGTTTGTACTCTAGCTGTTTTATTTGTATAGGCATTAAGTAAAATTTTATTCTAAAATGTCTAACCTCATTGATAGAGAAATTTAAACCAGAAGTGGTCATTTTTTTTTAAACCTAATGAAAGTTTTTTTTTTTTTTTTTTTTTTTATATTTTATT